TCCCAGTTGGATGCAGACACTCACCTTCATGATGCCTTCATGCATAAATGTGTCTCCTCCAGGCTGGACGGCATGGAGCTCCTCCAGACCTTTACGGATACGTTCCCTGTGCAAAAAACAAAAAGGAGCAACGCAGATAATAAGATATGGCTATCTGATCTAAATATCTATTTCATCAGATCCATTACTGAATATAACTCTGCATTGAAACCAGACACACTTAGGGTTGGTCACAGAGACAGTTTCCAAAATACAAGTCATTTGCTAAATTACAAGAAATGCACAACAGATGTATAGAACCAGTGCTCTGCAGAACCATTAATAGAGGTCCAACTTTAATAATTTTTGTCTTGTTAAACCTACTTGTTTTAAAAGTAAGTTTTAGCTAAATTTGAGTAAATTGCAACTTTTTCTAGTTCTTTTTCAGAATACTTTTGGTTCTGGATTTGACATTATCATCTGGAAGAATAGAGACTTACCAGAATCAGCACAGCAGTCCAGAGGCTCCTTTCCTACCTTCAGTAGAATTCTTACTTTTGACCTTGTGAACGATATAGGAACTGGAGCTATTGGGGCTACAATAATAGAACCTTCAAAGCTCCTAGGCAAAGTTATTATAAATTATTTCACCAAAGGGTGTGGATATCTACAAATCGTCCTCAATTGCATAAAACTTAATTTAGGTGCATCCTGTTTAGTTTCATGTGAAATTAAAAAGGCAATTGATTTTACTGGTTTTGATTTAGTGGTATATGTGTGCGTCTGCGTCTGTGTGTGTGTGTGTGTGTGTGTGGTGGGGATGTGTAATTTAGTTTTGTATTCAAATAACATAAAAAACAGACCATACATCATGGCATTTAACATTTATGAAGGAAGCATGAAACTTGCTCTGCTGCTCCGGAATTATAAATTGTCCACAATATGTCTTAACCAAGTGCTAAACTGCTTGCCCAGACTGACAAAACTATAACTGCAGGAGAAAGTATCCGTCTGGATTCTCCACTTGTCATAAAAATCATGGATCATAACTGTGTTAAACGTGTCCAAGTCAACAGATTCCCCCTTTGCTTTAAGCTGTATGACAGGACAGCAAAAGATTATGATTGAGTTTGAGACATCTGCTCCCACCTGTCATCTGTCAGGTGCATTAAGATCCGCCCCGCGGTGGAGAACACAATGAAGGACATCCGTAACTGTGGGCTGTGAGAAGGAGAGAAGGAAAATACAAGCTTTTAAATCAGTAATCATCTTTTAACAATCATTATCCCCACTGACACTGGAGGTTCACCTGATGAATTTATGTGCCAGATGTTCAACAAAGTGGTAGATTTCATTCCAGTGGTTCTGCACACTGCCAGATCTGTGAGGAGAGCAGACAACTAAATGTGAGCATGGGTTTGAGCATTTACAGAGATGACAGTGAGAAAGGAGAGTGTGCCTCCTTCATTTGATTCTGTGTCTTTACTCATTATTAAGATTTTTTAATGATAGATTATTGCAGAAATTGTATATAACAATGAAGTGTAAGAAAAAGTATGCATGGTATTCAAATTCAATAGAGTGAGGGATCCAATCAAATTCAACCTTCCTTTGTAGGATCATCTTTCACTGAAAATATGGCTGCAAGTCTTCTGAGGTATTTCTCTAACAAAATAGTTCAAGTACAGGTCAACATTTTTGCTCATTCTACTTTGGAAAGTATAACTAAAACTAAATTGGATGAGTAGTATCTGTAAGCAGAACTTTTCTGGTCTTTTCAAGAGTTTTTATCATGTAACTTTGTTATCAATTTATAATAATACAGCTCTTTGTTTGTCTAGCACCAAAATCCCCTCAAAATACATAGACAGTATTCTTAGTTTTAAGGTTAAAGGAGCAATCTATTTGCTTTGAAAGCAAGAATCTTATAGTCATGAGGAACTCAACCCAGCAAATCATCCAAGTCTTTATAAGCCTTTCCAACTTTTCTTTTTCATTGTTTTGCCTCTCTTTGCCTTTTTCTTCCATTTAGCTTAAAGTTTGGATTAGTAATTCTTCAACAGTTGGTAACAGCCTATAAAACATTTGATCATTCCAGGTAGTATTTAATCATATACAGAAAGAGCAGCTGAGTCCATAAACTTGCAGTCTGGATCTAAATTGATGTATGCTTTGAACTGTCTTACGTGGAGCTGAAGCAGTGCTGCAGTCTCATACTTTGGTATCAGGTACTGTCAAAACCCTTTTTAAGTAACTGAAACCATTTGAAGTTATTGTAAACAAAGTTGCATTGATAAAACCTTCATGAATCCAGCTGTGTAATCAAATCTCTGTCAGACAGGACATAGATAAATGGGAGCTCTAGTCTCTCCTGTCATATCTATTCCAAATGTTGCATTGCCCTGCACTGAGGCTGTGACAAAGGCTGATCTTTTTAGCTCTTTTGGGAGGAAATTATCATTTGAGAAGGTTGTATGGTTTGTGTGCATGTCACTGTTGATTACTATCAAAAACTCCTTTGATTTAGTAATGTTTTCTTAAGGCTTTGAGTTTTCCTAACACACATTTTTCCAGCGTTACCATGACACAAGTCCCAGCACAAGCAGCTGAGCCAAGAGTGTAAACATCTGGATGAAATGGAGAAAAGCAGAGTTGACAAGCAGAAAGAAGCAAAGGAAAGTTCAGGATAAAGAAAACAGTGGGGGAACATGAAGAACAACAAAAATGGGAAGAGGAGAAATGTTAATATAGAACTAAATCTCAAAGGACACACAAACAGAGCTTTTACCAACAGATTTTAAGTTAATTTTTAAAAGCATTTTCTTTAGATTTGCATAGATTTCGTAATCTCCAGAACTATTCTGCACTTCAATAATGTCTTTATTTCAGTACAAAAAGAGTTAGACAATTTTAATTTTGTAGGACTTGTGCACCTCTCACTATTCAGATTTCTTCTTGCAAAAAGTTTGAAACAAGATTTTTTTGTTTGTTTGTTTAATTTAACAGCTTTCAGTATCTGAATCCCAATCAAATTAATTGGTCTCTGGGATTGTTGGAGGACCAAATGTGAAAGGGGGAATACAGATGAAGGCACAGTTTATCCTTGCTAAACAATCTCATTAGATGAAAGTAGCCTGTTGCCATTATTTCACCACTTGACATTTTCACTCTTTTGAAAAAGAATATTGTAAATTGCAATTGGTTAAACTGCGAGTTTTATTTATGAGAAAAAACATCTTTTAAGTCCTATTTTTTGGTGGCATTAACTGAAAAAACATTCAATAAAGTGTGTTTTTTTTTTTACATTACAATGCATATAAATTGTCAAGATCAAGTACTATAGATTAACTAAATACGTCTTTATTTATGAAGGCACATCTAAGGAGAAACACCTACACAGAAAACAAAACAACCATTTTTGTCTTAAGAATGAAAAATTCTGCAGACAAGTTGTTACCTATGTTTGACTGGAGGAGTCAAAGTTTAGTGAAGTTGAGTTAGACAAACGGAGGTGGGTGACAAACTAAACCAGAGTTATTATAACTCCCATTTCGGAAACAGCTGATAAAAAACAAACACAAAAAAAAACAATATCCCCTGCAATGAAACCGATCTGTTGCACTTCAAAACCATGTGACACATATTATAAATCCTTACTTCCTTTTGATGTATACTCACTATGTAGATCATAACTAGTAAGAAACAGGTTATACAGCTTTAGAGATAATAAAGGGAATATGTAACTGGTGATAGGAGTAAAAAAAAAAAAGAGAAATTAGGGGCATCTATGATGTTTGGGGATGGATATGCAAATGCAGCATACACAAAATATATTATTTTTTGTATGTTTTGTACCATTGCACAGACAGTGAAACCCCTGTATTACTGAAGTCATAATGTCTGTTTAAATGCTGTCCAACTTACGTGTCCAGAACAAAGTAAAGGTCAAAGCCTCCAAAGCAGGAAGTCTGTGGAGCCGGTCTCCTCTCCTGGTTTGTTCCAGCATCCAGAGCCATGGGGAGAATCATCAAAGCAAAAAGCACAACTAGAACCTTCAACCTGGTGCTCCAGCACAGAGGCATCATTCCACCTACAGGAAATCTTGAATCAATCAAACCAAAAAAGCAACCAAAGTTGAATCCTCTTCCGTCAATCCTCAATGTTTTCAGATGCTGAGAGTGTTGATCAGAGTTTGAAGAGGCGGAGGGAGACAAAGCAGAGGTGTTGATGGCACTCTCTCATCCCCAGGTTTAAACCAGGTTGCATAAGGATGAGAGAGGCTCCTCAAACTACATCTGATGCTGCTCCTTTGTTTGTGCAAAGCACAGAGAGAAAGAACCTCCAACCCTGGATGTATTTGCAAAAAAAGAAAAATTCCATGTGTTTTCTCTCTTTCACCCTGGATCTAAGTGGGAAGAATGATGAGGACAACATGGTCAAAGCACTCTGATCTTCTTACTGCTCCTGCCATCTAGTGGTAATAAAATAATGTAATTACACTAATCTGAACATGGAAATCTGAAATTAAACACAACATGAGACGGCATGTGTTTTATGAATTCCTTTTCTTTTCTATATGATTTTGAGATCATAGTAAAACGGAACTCAGACATGAAACAAAAGCAAAATAGAGAGAGCAATTACACTAAAACACCTGCATTATCCTGGATCCCCATTATGTTTTCAGCTAAATTAGATTTTTACCACAGGTGTTAATATTTAGCTTATAGATTAAGAATAGTGAATAAATAAACATTTATATTTTTAATCCATTTATATATTTTTGTAATAATGACTGTTTTTAAAATGAATAGTTTGTGCACCAGGTATACAAACTGCCGCAGCATTTCTGTACCTTTCTGAATATGTGAAGAATACATTTTAATATAATTCAGATGTTTATTTAATGTACTTTTTATATATAGAAACACACAAAAACTACACAAACTGATAGTTTGTCTTGGACATATTTGTATTTATTATTGATTTTCTTTTCAAGGCAAACTAAATTCTTTCCCACACATTCAGTTTAAGGATGTTCATTGTGGTCAGCGCTTTTATTAACTGATGCATGTTTTATACAATTCTGACCTTATATCACTTTTAGGCCATATGGATTTGTAATTTCTTTATTTTCCTGAATAGTGAAAAACAGGACAGAGCACGGATGGGTCATCTTTCTTGTGGACAGTATATTCACATGCCTTTTCATCAAACACAGCCTCGCAGTCATCAGGGAAGCCCGTTGGAACTCCATACCTGAAATCAAACAGAAACCAGAAGAAAAAAGGTAGCTGTGACTTTTTTCTTCACATTAGGCAATAACATGCGTGTGATTTGTTTGTACATACACACTGCAGCATCGTTCACAGTCGCATTCCATACATCCACTGTTCCTCCAAGTTGTCCCTCTAACATGCCATGTTAAATCAAAATTATCTTGACAGTGGGTCTCATTTTGTGTTTCTGCAAAGGGAAAAAAAAATATATATATACATATATATATATATATATATATATATATATAT